GAGAGAAAAATAATAAAATCAAAGTATATGGAAACAAATTACCGTTAAATGAAATTAGAATATGTATGTGAATGTAAATTTAAAAATTAAAAAATCTAAATAAATTGAAATAGCGTAGTGGTACTATAATAATAATAATTACAAAGTTCCCAGATACTTAGACACAATTTATTGTAAAAGAAATATAATATAACAAATAGTATTACCTATAGTGCTGTTAAGTTTATATAATAAATATAAAATATTGCTACATACGAGCATTGATTATTAAAAATTTCATGAAATATGGTGATATGGAATAAGTAATAAACATGAAGAAATAAGGCTACATTTGATCTGATTTTGTAAATTAATTAAACAATATAAATCAAGAATTATAAAATTGTATAATATTTAAACACACGCCCGCGCGGATACGCACGCACTCACACCTACACCAGTATAAACTTTGATTATATAAGTTTTTTTATGTCAATATTATACTAATTCTTAGCTTGTATTGTGTTATTTAAAAAACTAAAGAAAAAATGTATATATATTCAATGTTAAATAAAGAAGAGTGACATTCTGTTATTATTGTGATATTAAAATTTCAATTCTATATCAACAATTAAATAATATTCAATTGTTATTTGTTTGAGAATTTCTTATTTTCAAGACCATCATCCAAATAGTAATATTTTGTTAAATCCTTTCAGTAAATGTACCAAAAATTTCAATATTAAAATATGCGTTTAAATTGATTTTGAAATAATATTTATTTTCCACTGACAAAAGAATATTTGTCACAAAATGTTCCTATTCTAGCGCAAATTTTTAATTTTTTATAAAATTAATTACTACCTTGTTGTTATTTAAGCTAAATATTTAATAATCTAAACTTGTCTAAAAATATCTATATGTTTTACAAATTAAAAGATGAATTATTCATTAAATGCAAAATACAATATAAACAACATTTCAAATGAATTATTAATATTCAAATACAGTCTAAAATTGTTGATTTAAAAGATTTCACAAAATGTCATTGGCAATGGCATTTTTTTATTGATTTTGTGTATATGCCTTCAAGAATAAATAACATTTGTATTGCTCAATTTACTTTATGCAGTATGAAATATATATTAACTGATGATGAGACTCAAATCAAAATTTCAAATAAATCCATCGATTAATCTTTACGTCTCGATTATATTTATTTATTATCGTCGCTATAGTATATTTATATGTAAAAAGTATTGGAAAAGGGATTTTAGGATCCGATGCATAAAAATTATGGACGATATGATCTTGATCTTTAAAACGACAACTTGCGCAAACAAATAAAAAATACCTTTCGAATAATCAAATATGAGTTGAAAAAATAAATAATACTTTCTTTTATCAAACTACAGATTATTTGTTGAAAGTACACGAGAGTACATCGTTAATTTTAACTCGGCCGGCTTCGCACTAATTGAGATAAAAGATACGAATGAATCAGAACGAAAGGAGGAAAACTAGATGCTACAAAATTAACGGGCAATTAATTTAAATGTAATGTTACATTGGCATGCATTTGCGGGTAGAACAATGGCTGTAAGTTGCCTTAAACGACGACGGCGAAAGCCGAAAATGGCAATAATATTTTAATCTCGGAATGCAGGCCGCCCAGAACGAGCAACAGACAAAAGAAACAGGTAAGAGTCGCGGATTCGTGTCTCTGCAAATGGAAGAAAACGAAGAGAAGTAAATGTAAGACTAAATTAAAGCGAAGATTAAGCGAAACGATATAGAAAAAGAGAATAAAGAAAAAAGAAGGGAAAAAAGAGAGAAAATAGTGGGCCCGCGCGCATCTTTACTCTCTCAAGGCTCTCGCGTCCATGTCCAAAGAAAAAGAAATCAATTCCCCATGCACTCTCACTCCTTACACGCGCTGCATAAAACAGCCTCCCATCGCGCAAACCGTGTCCAATAGAGTGATCATGATCAAGCCTTGGATCGAGTGGCGGCGGCGGCCCATCATCCAAAGCCAAAGATGAAAAAACTGGTCGGCGAGGTAATGAGCGGTGGTGGCCTCGGGAGAGACGAGCGGTGGTGGCGTTTGGTTGCGTGAGCCGGTGAGGACCGAGAGGAGGAGGGCCGTGATTCCATGAATGCCGACGGGCGCGAACACCTGGCCGCTCGCGCCCGAGCAGCTGCAATCACGACTGCCATCTGCCCTCCGGAGCGCACTTTGCCGCCGGAGGGTCGGAGGCATTTGGAGGCGCGCGGAGGATTGGAAGATCAGTCGGCGGGAGTGTGGAGGGCTGTGAGGAGGAGGGAAGGGTGAAGGGTGGGGAAGAGCAAGAGGAACAGGGCCAATTAGCCAGTCCCGAAACACGTGCCGGCCGTCCTCTCGATTCCGATGATGCACACGCCGGCGATTTTTGCGCTTCTTGTACTTCTTCATCTTCTTCCTCTTCCTTCTCTTCCACCTCTTCTTTATTCTAGCTTGTAGCACGAGTGAGAAGGGGAGAGAAGGAGGCACTTATTTCTCTCCCGAGCGGCAGTTGGCCGTCACGGGCTATTGTTCCTGCAGACTTCATTTCGGCAATTATAATGCGTAAGCAAGTGCGTTATGTGGGTACTTAGCATCGCGAATTGCGGATAATTTAACATTTGCTGCTAGGAATGAAGAAGCCTTCTCCGATCTCAAGCTCAAGAAGTTACGTGAATTACGTGTTAGGCTTAAAGTCCAAGCTGTTAAAAAACCGTTAATTTTTATTGTTGCAGTTTGCAATTTACAAGAACCGCGATAAAACTTTTCATTGGTAAATTATTTTAGTTTATTGTATACCTATAGCTTTCATAGCAATTACGTTAATGTTATCGTATTTTATTGGGTTCCGTAAAATAATAACCATATAATGCCGCTCAAAATAAATTTATCACACTTTATAAATAAATCTGATGAGCTATAGCACCTGAAATATAACAACTATTAAGCATTTTAAGTTTAACAATTTCCAATTACAGTTTCAAATACATTAACATTCGACAAAAATATATCCTCTTGTTTCTCTCGCATTTTTTGTAAATCAATACTATATACTGTTATGTAAACTTTTTCTAAATATACTAATAATATTTTCTCGAATAAATCGTAATATCATGCAGAGCTACAATTTTCAATAATAAATAATAATTCAATTCAATAATAATTTCAATAATAATTGTAAAATAAGGTAATCGTTAAATGAAACTGTACTAGTAACAATAATCTGAACGAATAGAATATATTTTAACTCACATAAGGTAATATATATAAATTAATATAAGCTTAAGAAATTTTTTATATATAATTAAATTTATTACACCTGTCGATATTAATATATAAAATAAAATTCATTAAATAATATTATTAATTTAAATAAATAGAATTAGAATCGAATTCGTAATTAAAATATTATAAATTATAAGAATAATCTATCATTTTAATTTTCTATCAATTTTTTGCTTTCTCAAATCATCTAGATATAGTGATAACTAATAAATATTGTAATGTGTTACTATTTTTATATAAAAAATCAATTTATGTAAATATTCATAGTATTATCAAGCATTGTACCGTGTAGCGATTAATAATTGATTAATAGTAAATAAATAAATGCCAAATAAATATAAAAGAAATAAACATCTATTATAAAAGAATATAAAAATATCTTCTTGTATATTTCATGTTGTATAACTTACCTTTGTAACTGCTTAAATAATATCGTTCTTTCTTAAAAAATTGTTTAAAAATTTTAAACAGTTCTCGTTAATTCCATTACTGAGAATCAATCACCGTTGAACTTAACGTCTAAAATCGTTCGAAGCACATTCGAATTATAAAATCTTAGGATTAATAATTAAGATAACATTTCATCCGATACGCATAGAAAATGTTACGATAACTTGTAATTGTATTAACTTTCTTTATATTACATAAAATAATAAATAATACTATTAAAAAAAAAGATAATATTTAATAAATAATCACCATCCGTTCTTAAAACAAAGTGAAATAATAAAAAAAAAAAAAAAAAAAAACAATTAGTCGTTATTATTTTGAAATTCTAAACAATCTACATACCTCGTTAATCTGAATTATTGATTCACTCACTTGTATACTTAAATAAATATTTATAAAAAAAAAATAAGACTTCAATATAATAATAATAATAATACAAAATATTGACAATAGCGACATCTTTCGAATATACATGTTAATTATCCCGTTTATCTGTCGTCCTATATATTTGAGATATTTTACCTACAATAGCTAATCTACCATGATTGATGGTAATGTAGAATATAATATTAATTGATAATAAAAGAGAACTAATAAAATAACTTAAAAATTTAAATGCAAAAATTTCTTAAATTAACATTATAAATAATTTTAAAAAGCTCTGCATTCAGTGATGAATCAATTAATTATTCATACAACAATTGAAGTAAGCAAACACGCGCCTACTTATTATCATTTAACAAATTAAATATTCTAAAAGTACTTCTTTTTTTAGCTATAAAATAATAATTTATTTAGATCCCTATAAATTTAGTGAACTGTTTGACCAACTTATTTTGTAGCAACAAAGCAAAAAACGACGAATACGTTGTAAATAACAAATGAACATATTAAATTTCAAGAGTTCCCACAATTAGATATCATTCAATTATTTAAAACTAATGTTTAAAACCAATAAAATAAAATTCAAATTTAGTAAATCTGATCAATATAATCAATGCAAAATTAAACAATAATTAATTACTTTATTACTTAAAATAACAATCAACACATAAATTCTACAATACAACTGGAATACAGGATTATATTGATGAAAAAAAACAGCTCAGGATTATTGGAATATTTAGTTTTTATCAAAATTTATTCATCATATTCAACTTATTTGGTTGCTCAAATCGTAATACAATTAATTCATCTTTACATTGAAATAATTCTACCTAACATAGTTATAATTAACTAATACACAGTTATTTTTTTGTTTGATAGTATATAAATTATGCATTATTTCTTTGATTTTCTTTATCTATCATAATATCCAACTTAATGAACGTGAAACTTCAAAATAGTTTACTAAATGAATAAAATAATATTAAATAAGTTTTTCCCAAATCAATATCGTCCAGAACGATTATCTCTTCCCTTACGACGATCTTTCGATCTGGATCTACGCTCTCGTGAGCGCCATCTTCTTTTACGATCACGTCTAGGTGACTTAGAGCGTGACCTTGATCTTCCACCCTTACCACCACCTTTATTGCGACTATATAGATAGCGACGCAAATCTCGAGAAATTGGTTTTAAATGCATGAAATTACAGAATCCTGATCTCGTACATTCTCTAGCAACAAAAATATAAATTCTATATTTAACATTTATTATTTAATCGCGATTTGCAAACTACGGCAAAATTTGCAAAATACTATTAATATTTATTACATTGCTATTTTCATATTAAAATTTGTGTTTAGATTATTTGCTGTAGTACAATACGTTTTACCACACCGAATAAAATTTAATTAAACCAAGAAACGGTAATAGGACAATAAACGTGGTAAATAATTAAAGGAATTCAATAAAGTTAGTACATTGATATCTCATCTCGTAGAACTATAAATTTAAAAGAGTAAGTTTTTCTAAATATTACAATCTATTGTTTATTAATTTATTTAATGATTTGAAAATAACCTTATTACAGTATTTCAAAGTACCGTCTATCGTGCATATAATATATTTATTCGAATGTTACAAGTGAAAAAATCAGAGAATGCATTAACTGTTTATTCAGATTGAAATTTCAATTTAAACAAACATATTTCGATAGAAAAGAATATTCAAAAATTTTCTAGCATTTTTATTTTGCATAACCATAATTTTTGTTTGTAAATAGACTTAACATGATTAAAGAAAAAAAAGAAGAAAAAAAATTATAATAAATAATTTTCCTACCCCATTTCATACTGACGACAACAGGCTTCTCGAAAATCTGTTACCGGGGACAATTCAGCATATACAGGTCGTCCACCAAACCATCTATTGTTTAGGTCATTTACTGCTTTTTCGGCATCTTCTTCTCGCCTAAACTTAATATAAACATTACCAACTAGATGATCTCCTAAATTATCACACACATTCATTTCTTCAATTTCACCATATTTATCCTCACATTCAACAAATACATCTTCAAAGAAATTATCATAATGTTCCTGCATTTCTTCGTCTGAGACATTTGCTACCACTAAAAAAACATTAAACATCATATCACAAAATATTATTAATGACTATTTAAAATATCAATTATATTTTCTAAATTAATAAATTAATATTAATTTGTACTTACAATGAGATCCGTCTGCACTTTTCGCTGAATTCTGGGGATTAACATAAAGATTTTGGAGTAAACATGTCTGAAACATTTAACAATTAAAACTATTATTTTCAGGTACAAAATATATCGGTAATACAATTACACTAAAAATACCTGACTAAAAGTTGGTTTGTTATGAATTCTGGAGCATCGATCTCCATGCCTGCATGCACCAATTTTAAAGTAAAACGAACAATTTACCCTGTAATATTAAATAATTATAAAATGCATTCATTAAAAAACATAATTAAATTAATACTATCTAAAACATCAACGTTAAAATATGTTACGAATTTGAAAAGTATCCTCTCATAACCTTAAATTAAAAAGAATAATATTATTAATCATACTTTACTTACTTATCTTTCTCTGTACCAAAAATAGAAGCCAAATACTCAGCCATAATTAAAAAATGATACTTTATATTTTAATAATCTTACTCTTTGCACTTTTGTACAATAACTAAAAATATAAATTGTATACGATCCCAACTCGATTTAAGCGTCACTCTTACACCATTTTTCCTAGCATTTGCTTTACTTTCTTTATCATTCCAAATTCGAATTTCAATAATCTATCACTTTTGCAGTAATAGTATTTTACATCATGGGTTTATTAAACTTGCGTAAAAGAAATCTAGACTCATTGGTTAATATTTCAGCGCTCGATATAAACTACTTTTGTATATCTTAAATAATTACGAATATTTTAACAATATGAGCTATAATTTTATGTATGTGTGTGTGTGTGTGTGTGCGTGTGTGTGAGAGAGAGAGAGAGAGAGAATTATTGCTCTTAGAATAGAAGTATTATAAAAAAAGTACAATTTTTATAAAAAAGGATTCGAGTAATTGTAATGTGCAGAAATTTTACAGATTTATACTAATGAATTAAAAATCTCTCTCTCTCTCTCCCTTAACTATGATTTTTTAACATAAAATTTCTATTCGATATCATATTTTACAAAAACAATTCAATTTCATTGCGATCTGTTTATTGTTTTTATCTGGATTTTATAATATTGTAGCCCGAATATCCGACGGGTATATTAAGATTTTGCAATACTTTGAAAACCTACATCCTTAACAAATTAAATTATATCTTTCGTCTAAAATATTTTTATAAAAAATTTTGCAAAAAATATTTACATTTTTAATGTTGTGCGCTGTTTTTGCAATTAATTGAACACAAGTAATTTATTAATTAGATTTTCATAGAGATTGAAATCACCATAATATGAGCTAAATATCAATAACCTAATCATTTTACGTATGCGATGAATAAATTTTAGTATAAAATCCTCTTACTCAACAGACATATTTGTACGTAACTATCATATACTTTAAATCAAAATTTAGATCAAATAGGTATGAAATTTAATAAAAAACATCATTTCTTCCAATAAGTGGATATAAAAATTTCATTGAGCATACTTTGAATTTGCAAAAAAATCTATTTAAATTATCAATTTCAAATTTCAAATCAAATACAGTTGCTATTCGTTTGTAAGTATTATTATTTCATTTGTATTAGCGCAGATATTTCAAAATTTTTGATAAATCAAAAGTAAATATTTATTTATAACAAATGATCATATTAGATTTACACTTCTTATGATTTGAAAAGAAATTACTTGAAAAATATCTCAAATGGCAATTCCTAACATCAAATATATGCAATGAATATAATATAACGTGATAATATTAATAAAAATATAAACATATGTGGATCTGCATGGTAAATAAATTTTATTTAATCGCTTTAAGGCTAAGAAAGTTATAATTAAAAAATTATCGTCTGTTACTGATATTTTAATGAATTATTAAATAAAATTCCAAATATTAATCAAAACTATATGACCTTTTCTAAATGATTCCCGTCATTCATTCGCAAATGGAATAAACAAGTGGTGATATCCTACGCTATATTTATTTGAAATTTAAATTAGTTATTTTGTTAATATAATATCTTACATATTTATGTATTTAGATAAGATTTTTATTATAATTATTGTTAAAACTTCAAAAGTATGCTCATTTCTTACTTCTTTTCTCTATAGATAAGATAATATAAAGAATATAATTATATTACTAATAAATCAGCGAATTGTATGATATTTTCAATAGATAAATAATTCATTCATATTAGTTCATCAATATTAGTTTAAATAATAATTCTAATTGAAATATTAAAAAATATTATAAATAATAAATAGTTAATTTTAAGAAATTTTAATCGTGAAGATATATTTTTACAAAATATTTACTGTTGCAGGAAGGAATGAATTTAAAAATGATGTTTATTAGGACATTATTAAAACGTTTTATTAAATAATGTATTTACATACTTACCAGCAATTAGCATTGATTAGAATACTTTATAATATATTTATAAATACTTATTCATATCTTAAAGTGTATTTGTAAATTCATATTTATAAATAACAGATAGCAGTGTTATATAAAGAAGTCAAATTTCAAATTAATCCAAAAATATACTTACATTGCGATAAAGCATACATTTATATTTAGTGTGGATACATGAGACAAATTGCAAATATATTTAATATGTCATTATTTTTATATGGTTATATTAAAATTTTTTAAATCTTATTTTATTATAAAGATGAAATTATAGAAAGTGATTTTTCTTAGATTTTATAAGGTCGACTATGTCTTTAATATTAAATTAAAGAAATCAGAAATACTGAATTACTACATAGAGAATTATAATTATATCGCAATTATATTAAAGTTTAGCATAAATTTAAATTAATATTACGGACAATTATTTGAACGCTGTATATTACTTTAGTACAGTTTAATTAGCAAATTATCTGCATTATTAATATTCAAATTTAACTACGTTAAAATCTTATGATATATTCACGAAAGTACTTGTATTAAAAAAATTTAAATACGTTAAATCTTTTATGTATTAAAAATATATAGTGCTAATTAAGATGGTATTTTCAATAAAAACTTTAGACTAACTGTAGAAAATAACAATAAAATCAACGACGACAACAATAGCAATAATAATAATATATATATGTATATATGTATATATTAATAAAATACACGTACATTTGCACCTTAGAAAGAATTTTTAATGATAGGCAAATATTTTTCTTGAAAATAAATATAAATATAAATTTCATTATTTACATTTATCTTTTATTTAATCGTGTAAAATAAAAAATCTAAATTGTGAGAAAAGAAGCTCGTTATTCTTATTACTCCATAATATTAATACTCATAATAATAAATATAATAAACATAAGAAATATAATAAAAAAATACTCCACGCATTAAACGAAAACGTACATACGCGCTTACACGCAGTCACCTACGAAATATTCCTCAGGGTCAAATCGAAGTAAATTAAATTAAATGTATAATTATTTGCTTATATTCGTCAAACAAAAATTTTTAACAAATTTTCATTATCATAAAACAAATAATCATGAGCTAATCATTATTGTCCGTGATTTAATAGATTAAAAAAAGCGTGTGTGCGTAATTAAAGAAAATATCGATTAGATTATAACAATTGGATAAATATTATTAATAATTTAAATTGTGAGACTAATTGTAAAAATTGTAAATAAATTTAATTTCTCATTACGAACGACCAAAATTACGCATTAAAATGACAAAACAGCCAGAAATTATATAATAAGAATGCCTTTCAAGATAGCAATGTTATTATTTCTGATTATAATCAAGCCACCCAGTTGATATAGTAAGATCCATATCGTGTCGAATATTCGTTAAAACGATAAGGTGATAAATTATCTTGAAAGTAATATATTTTTATTTTCATCTTTTGCGCACAGCATTTTCAATACTTGTGCATAAGAGAAAAACGTGAATATTTTACGAATCAACAATCTTTCGGACACCCCGTAAACAAAACTGACGGCAGAGCCATCTTACGACGCACTTAAGCAGTATGAATTGACAGAATGATATGGTTATAATTATCATGTTATATATGAGGCGAGTAATATCAGGATCACGTGAACGCACTTGAACATCCGACGAGGACACAGTCGTCGACTACATTTAGTGTACTGATACACCATACGCATCATCGCTGCTCAGTTGAGTGAAAGTCAACTGCGATGACAGTGGATGTTAAGGTTCTCGATGGCGGCTTCTCGACGCAACTCGCTATGCACGTAAATGATACGATCGACGGTGATCCATTGTGGACGAGTAAATTTCTTTATTATAATCCTGAGGCTATTTATAAGACGCATCTTGACTTTTTGCGTGCCGGTTCCGATATTATCGAGACAAACACGTATCAAGCCTCGGTGTCGGGCTTCGTACGATATTTAAACAAGACCAAAGAAGAAAGTTTGGAGCTCATAAAGTTAGCCGTTGATCTCGCTAAGAGAGCTGTGATACGATATAAGGAGGAAGTCAAGGATCTTGATGTGTCCAATCGAGAACCACTCATTGCAGGCTCAATTGGCCCCTATGCAGCTTATTCGCACGACTGCTCGGAGTATACTGGCAAGTCGTGTAACAAATTTGATTCGATAGAATCGATTATTGATTGGCATAAACCAAGATTCGAGGCACTGGTCAATACTAGAGTTGACCTCTTGGCCATCGAAACAATTCCATGTGCTAACGAAGCCATAGCTTTAACGAATTTATTAAAACAATATCCAGGTAAACGATTGATTATATAATGCATTTCTAATGTATTTCTTTTCCTTTATCCCACTAATCATTTGTGCGCTTATTTTATGTTTGTTTAATTATTCTTGTGATTATTCAATATATTCTTTTATGATGCTTTTATGCTTTAAATGCTTTATAGATATAAAAGCTTGGATATCGTTCTCTTGTAAATCTGATGGAAAAAGTATAGTGGATGGGAGCAATTTTAAAGAAACGGTTTTACAATGCTACAGATCAGTATATCCTGGCCAATTAGTCGCATGCGGTGTTAACTGCCTTACTCCAAAAGCAATGACACCTCTGTTAAAAACCATTAGTGAAAAAGAAATTAATCAATTTATACCTATGGTTGCTTATCCAAATAGCGGAGAAAAATATTCATCTACAAGCTTCACTTGGATTAAAGAAAGTGATTTGCATCCTCCGGAAGAATTTATAAAGGAATGGCTTGATCTCGGGGTTCGCTATGTTGGGGGATGTTGTAGAACTAATACACAAGATATTGAACGAATTTCAGCAGAAGTAAAAAGTTGGATGAAAGCCCATCTTAATTCAACTTAATATCGAATGTAGTAATTTTTCTTTTTGTTTCATATAATTTGATATGTTATTTTTTTCAATTATTTAAACAAGAACGCCATATATAGCAAATATAGTTAGAAAATATATTCATCAATTCAAATAATTAGAATTGAATAAATTAATAAGACATAGGATGCACTTATATAAAACTTATGTTTTATTATTCACAATGTCAATACATACGGTACGTAGGCAGATGTTGAATTGAAAAAAATATTTTTAAATTGCTTGGTCAATGTAACATAATTGTAAAGTTTTGTTTTATAATCTTTGTATTGTTATTTGGAAATTGAAAATTTTTAAGTAATTGTAAATTAAGTAAGCAATGTAAAATAACTTAGCAATACAAATAATTTATTCTCGTTATTGCTACCTTTTTGTGCAATTATATTTTTTATACTTATATAAAGCCTATAAAATAAACTAAAAATCTTTATAAATTTCATCTAATGTACATTATTTTGCAATTGAAGTTAAATTGTAACGATGAGTTGCATTAATTCTTTATGAATATACCTATAAATTATATTTAAAAATGTATATTTGAAAAAAATTGGTAATTATAAGCTTATTTCAAATTTTACTTCTAAACATTTTAAAGATTTATGATTTAAAAATATTTAAAATATATTAAATTATAAATTCAACACAAGTATAACTTTTAATAATTAAACGTTTGTAATGAGATCAAAATTTTGCATTAATATTTTTATAATATATTGTATAGTATTTTTAATAATAAATTAAATATAAGTGTAGCAAATTTATGTTTGTTAAATAAAATAAATTCTCTATTGTTCTCAATAAATATTATCACTTATAATATTATTATTATTATATGAACATATCAACTAAATTTGTAAAATAAAATGATTTTCTATATATATATATATATATATATATATATATATATATATATATATTAAAAACAAGTTTATTTCAAGGTGTATTATTTATTCATATCGATAATGAAAAAATAGAATATTCTTTTGCTTATGCTTTCTTTAACATTTGCATGTCTTAAGTTAAAAATATGATATATTAAAATTATATATTTATATTATTTCACAATTTAAAAATAATTAATAACTTAACTTTATAATACTTATTACTTAGATTTTTCAATTCTATATAAAAATATAAACTAAAGAATTATATCTAAATTTTTTTATCAAACTTGAATTTCTCAATTTACACTTCAATTACCAAAAACAATTTTAATATGTATTTTACAGAAATTTTTGCTAAAATAAATATATTATTGTAACTAATTTAAGGTTATAATATGAAAGATTGCATAAATCGTACTGTATTAATTCACATAGAATTAGAAGATACATCTGGTATTTGATGACTTTTTGTATTCGTATTATTATGAATCTCTTGTTTTACATTAACGCTACTAATAATACTATTTGTACTAAGGGGCTGACTTGGATTAATCACCGTATTGGAAGTAGGATTTTGCATGTCTAGTTGGCTTTGTGCGATATCTTGCAATGCAGCTTGGATTCGTTGTAAAAGTGCCTCACCTTGTCTTACAACCTCCTCGAGTTGCTCAGCCGCCTCTTGATTTTCTTGTTCTAATCTGCTAAGACTTGCTACTTGTAGTTCTTGAGACGATTCTTCGCTAGGTAAACTATCGATCAACGTATCGATATCTTTAGCACATCTTGCAATCAATGTTGCAAAAAGAGCAGCATAATCTATCGTATAAATCGTATCAATAATATCTGATATTAAATAACTACTATTTCCATCATTTAGATATTAAGTAAAATTAATTAAGCGTAAAATTTATAAGATAATCTTCTAAATTTAATTAAGCACAAGTTACGCATCATCAAACATGATCTAAATTTTTAATTTATTATCAATTTACCTTCTTGTGGTTGATTCAGTTGTGGAGTATTGATTCGATCAAACCCTGGAAACTTACTAGGTGTCGAATACTGTTGTAAAATCCCAACGCTATTACAAAAATATTCGGCTTGCTAATATAACAAGCGAAAAATAATTAATTTAATCGTGATGATCAATTGTACAAATAGATAAATTAATTTTATTACCTGATTAATTGTATCCTGTAATTGGGTTAGGCGATCCGCCATTGTAACCTCAAAATTTATATTCTCTTGTGAAAATTAGAGTTTTAAAATAATATACTTATAAGATGCTTCTAATTTTATGCGTTTTATAAAAAAAAAAAAGAAAAAAAAACAATAAAAATATTAATAATCTTTTAAAAAAATTATTTATTAAATTCACTACGTAATATTAATTATTGAACATTCCAACATTATGGGTAAAATGTTTGAGCTCTTATTTACAAATGCCTAGTAATTATATTTCTCAACTCTCAACTTGGCGAACTCCAATAATTTCAATTATGCTAAATGCTTTAATTTTCAACTTAATCAACCGATCTTTGCATTTATTTTAAAAACTTTTTTAAAACGTTTGTTCCATTTCCATATTGTAACTGTAAACAATAAGTCGTTCTGATCTAGACATACGACAATGGACCATAAAGTATGGTTTCTTTGCGAATTGAAATATCTGTGGTTTATCTGGTTGAAGTTTGAACTAGAATACGGCGACTATATTATATCGCGCATAAAGTTTATTAAATATGAGCGAGAAGTTTTTATACTCATTTTGGGTTATTAACAAAATGTATAAAACGATGTCGTGTGTAAATTACAAATACTAAAAATAAAAGTAGAATGCACGAAAATTTATTAAATTTTTTAAATAATTCTAATAAATTATTGCAATATGCTAATACGTAATTGCTTGCTTCTAGATTTTCGGCAAAAATACAGGTAAGAAAGATAACTGCAATGAACTGTAACAACTGTCAATATTGTTAAGACAATCAACAAGTTCAAATAAATCGTAAAAATGTTTTTTCAATTATAATTTTAGTCCAATTAATAGTTTAAATAGCTGATTTGGAATGTTCGATTGCAATAAATTTAACGGTGATAATATTAAGATAAATGAGTAAATAGTAATATTAAATCGAATAAAAATTACACTAAATGATTTTCTAGAATTTTTTATTAAAGTAGTCATGGTTTAAAAATTATTTTGAGTATATTAAGATATTCGTGAGATATATCTGCAAATATATAGGAATTGTGCACTAATTAAGCTTAAATCTTAACTGTCACTCTTTATAAACAATTATTTAAATATTTTAACAACGTAAATTTTCAACTTGCCACTTATCATTTATTACTTTCTAACAATTATTGATATGCTCCAAATAAGAAATTTTGAAGCCTAACGGCCGGCGCTAATATCAAGTTTCGAAAAGGAATCGGTGTTTATGTTTCCACGTGTTTTTAAATTGAGTCGAGTATACTTAAATGGTAAAATGTATATTAGTTATAATTGCAAGTTGTGGTTAAATTATTGTTTATATATTTTTTAAAATGTATTATATATTACTTGTAGTTACGTAAAAATAAAAATAAAATTATTTAAGTAACCTCAATATTGTATGTTTACATACGGGAATCTTAGTTAAAAAGAATGTATATATGAATATAAATAGATATATAAATGAGTTTGAATAAATTTGTGCATTAAAATATTTATACATATATTTAGATGTATGTGTAAAATGAGTATTTTTACTCAAAATATAAACCCAATCACTGGTCTTACCAGTTGGGAGGAAAGAGATCCAGATTATGATTATTATCAAGAAATTGCTAGATCAGCTTTCGCTGACATGCTGCATGATCATGAACGAGTTTGTATTATTTTCAATTCTGATGTTCGCCAATCCATAACTATCATATTATATTTTTAACTGAGATAATTACTTTCAGAATTATAAGTATTATTTAGGGATAAAAGCTGCTATTGATAAAAAGCATAAAGCAAAGGAAGAGGCCAATGTTTTAGATATTGGAACTGGAACTGGTTTATTGTCGATGATGGCTGCCAAATGTGGTGCCGATAGTATTGTTGCATGCGAAGTTAATAAAAAATGTGTTTATTATATTTTCTGTTAATAACATAACTAATTAATGTATTATTATATTATCATTTAGACTTTTAAACCAATTGCTGAATGTGCCAAAAGAATAATAGATAAGAATGGCTTTAGCAATAAAATTAAATTGATTTATAAAAGGTCTACCAAGTTAACGGTTGGAAAAGATGGTGATTTATTGAAACGAGCCAATATATTAGTTACAGAAGTATTTGACACTGAACTTATTGGAGAAGGTGCACTTTCCACTTTTAAACATGCACAAGATTTTCTTTTAGAGGTATATATTTTATAAAATCTCAAAACTCGAATAACAATTTATACTTAACAAAGAAGTGTAATTACAGAAAGATAGTATTGTAGTACCTAGTAGTGGAACAATTTGGGTCCAAGTAGTGGAAAGTCATTTAGTCAAAGGCTGGAATAGAGTCAATCCTATAAAATATAAAAATAATGAAGAAAATTTAATCGAAGCTCCAGACATTACACAAGTTTGTTCCGGAGCATCTGCAGTTCATGATATACAACTTTCACAATTACCAGAAGGCTCCTTTAATACACTTATAGAACCACAACCTATTTTTAAGTAATTTATTTACTTTTACTCTTTGTTTGTGTTTGTGTTTGTTTGTGTGTGTGTGTGTGTGTGTGTGTGTGTTTGCGTGCGTACGTGGCGAGTGTGTGTACTTGAGATATAATTTATATTTTATTTCTTGATTTTTAAATTTATTATCATAGATTTGACTGGACTGGTAAAATTCCATTAAAATTCAATGATAATGTTATTTTACCCGTAAAACCTATTGCCAAAGGCATAGCTCATGCTGTTTTTATGTGGTGGGATTTAAATATGGATATGGATGGTCAGGTATTTAAAAGAAAAATTATATTTATCAATTTTTTTATCTGAAAATCTTTTATAAATTGATATATTTTACAGATCCAATTGAGCTGTGCACCAGTATGGGCACATCCAGATGCTCAATTTGATCTTAAAAATGGCGAACATTTTAAAAATGTAGTTGACAAGATTCCTTGGAGAGATCATTGGATGCAAGCTATTTATTATCTACCAAATGACTGTTACTTATCTCCAGAAAAAGAAACATTGCTAATAGGTTCGCACGATGAATACTCCTTCTGGTTCTCATTGAATAATGAGCAAAAGTAATTTGTTCTTTTTTTTTTCAATTATTATTTATTATATCATGTTTGAAAAACAGATTTTTGTTTTTTTTTAGAAATGCAATTGAAGATTTTAAGAGGCCAATATGTGAATGCTGTGTACATTTAGCATTTTCTAGAACGCGAATCGGTCAGTGGAATGATGAAAATAGGACTCATAAATATTTAGAAGCACTGCGCAAAAAAATAACTCCAGATTTGGTGTGCCTGTGTCTCACCGATACCTCACTTTTAGGGCTATCAATTGCAAAAATGGGGATTAAAAAATTATATTTACTTGAAACTAATTCTTTATCTCGAAAAACAGTTAAAATGTTTATAAGTAAAAACAATCTTGATGATATTGTAACAATTATTGATTCAATCGATAATTTACCATCAAGTGATAAGATAAATTTAGTATTTGCTGAACCTTATTATGTTACTTCAATTCTCCCTTGGGATAATTTACATTTTTGGTACCTGTCATCTAAATATTCTTCTCCACATATTACATTTATTCCAAAAAGAGCTGTAATTAAAGCAGTGCCTATGGAATTTAAGGATCTTCAAAAAATACGAGCTAATTTAGGGATCTGCGAAGGTCTTGATATGACCGTTTTTGATAATTTGGTACAGGTACCATTAAAAGAACATAATTTAAGCATGAAACATTATATTTTTATGTATTGAGTAATAATATATTTCCAGTCTTCGAGTGTCAAAACCGATAGCCCCGTAGAAGCTCAACCTCTTTGGGAATATCCAGGAAAATCTCTTAGTTTACCATTTACAATAGCAGAATTTAATTTTAATGATGACGTATACAAGCAAATACGAATCAACTCATTTCAAGAAATTCCTTTTATTATGTGAGTGTTTTTTTAAATTGAATACTAATTACGAAATTGTAATAAAATTACATGAAATTATATTGTTTTGCTAATGAAAGTGATGGAGTTTGCAATGGGATTGCAATTTGGGTCAATTGGGATCTTGATGATGATATAGTTGTAACATCTGGACCAATTGAAGAGATAATTCCTGGATCAAGAATATCATGGGATCCTTATACAAGACAAGGCGTACAATTATTTAGTGAAACTGTGCACGTTACAAATAAAAGTATTCTTATGTCATCATTTAATTTTAATCCTGAAGAAGGAAGAATTCAATTTAATTTTGAATTGAAGAATAAATAATAACAAAACATTTGTGAATATATAAATAGTTATTTAGGGTAAAGTTTAAAAATATCTAGTAAAAATTTAATCGTCAGTTTATTACCCATGTTAAATCCTGTCACATTGGTACTAGACAATATCATTGTTTTTTATTATTTTATTTAAAAAATATATTTCTTAATATTTAAGTCTTAAAATAAAATTTTTAAGTATTAAAAAGATCATATTTTCTTATAACACGTTCGCTAAAAAGAATTATCAGGCAGTGTCCTTAATTGTTTAGCAAGTCTTCTTCCAATTAATTTTGGGTAACTTTTTTGTTTTATTAAAAATTCTTTACTCTGATGGGTTACCGCACCATTTTCTAATTGATATCTAAAATTATCTTTTATTAACTTCAACCTTCTTAAATATTGAAATTAATAAATTCATAGAACTGGATTTCTTACTTGCATAAGTAATGTAGCGGCCCAAGCATTTCATCTTTTAGCCAAGGTTTATCTTCTAAAATCGAAAGCGCAAGTGCACCACTCTCAAGGGTCGAGAGGCAACCTTCCGTAGGTTGCGTTCTTATAACATATTCACTAATTGGGACATTAACAAGTTTGCAAGATCGAAGTTTACTTAAAACTGAACTCGAGGTATATATTGCCTGTAAGGTACAATAAAATTGCTCTGCTTATATTTATCTCTCTATTATGATGTACTTTTTAAAAACTAACCTTAGCTTGAGGCCAAGTTCCATCCAGCAGAACTAAATTATAAGGATTCTGACCATTTATTCCTACAATATTTAATTCATTTAACGGTATTGCTTTAGAGGATGGATATAATAAAATAGTATTTGGATCATTTAGAATTTCAGCTAGGCCATCATGTTTCGATGACGGAAACTTTTTACCACTACAAAATGTTATTACCTAATAAATTATTCATTTTATATACCTTTTGATATTTAAAAAATTATACTGCCCAATTTTCTTACCGAAATGTAAGGCATTTGCCAGAAGCCAGAGATAACGTTAACATTGGAGCAGTTCGCAAGCATCGTTTAACTTCTGCCGGATGTTGAAGAATAATAATTCTTGAAGATGGATGCAACGGTGTCTTTGGTAAACCAGGACACCAACAAACTCCTTTTGGTCTTCTATTAAATAAGTTAATAATACATTTTATTCATAATTTATTTTATTTCATAATCCTGATCCAATTTTACCGTCCATACTAACTTGCATTGAATACACTTATCTCGCATCTGAGGTGGGTCAGCAGAAATATTCGAAAGCTCGTCCCAAATATCACTCTCGCCTTCCATTTAAAAAATCAAATAAAATATTTATTTACAATACAAACAACATTAAACTAAACAGTTTACATTCTAAAGCCGCACAGCTGATTCAAACCACATTATATTTCTACGAGACCTGGCGTTGGAAGCGCTACTGCACGGAAAATTTTCCAATTGATTAATCTACTTTAGACTTACCGTCTGTAGATTCGTCATTATATGAACATAACCAATCGCTGTTATATTTATATTACTTATAAAGCTATATCAACATATTTTTTATTTAAACCATGTCATTGAAAAATTTAAGCTACTTCTTATTTAAATATTATTCGTTTGATTCTATGATGAATAATTTTCCTTGTTTATAAAAATATGTTCCTTTTTTTCTTAAAAAATAACCTTAAATGAGAATATACCCATACAAAATCAACAATTAATTATTTTTCATTCTTAAAAATCTGTGATTTTACAAAATTTTTATTCTCATAGATTAATAAAAGCGTAATCTCAAAGTCATGATATTACTCGAATACAAATAAAAAACAAACAAGACAAGATTTGTCGATTTGTTGAAAGAACTTTTTTTTTTTTGTATTTAAAGTAACTACGTAAAAGTTTAGCTAACTAGAGATAATAATTTCCGAGAATCACGATCACTGGTAAATAAGACAGGCTTTATTAGTTTCCTTCTTTACTAACTTAAAATTTTTTATTACCACATTTCTTACATCTTAATTTATTGGCACTATCAGTAAGTATAATAACAAACCTCAAAAATTTCGAAGGTTTTGAAAAATATTCCAGTAAAAGAATTTGTCAAAATATTTGAATTGTTGGTATAACGAATAAATCTACGATTAAAACTTTCTGCTGTTTTCGAATCAAAATTATTTTCTCTTTTTAAACCTTGATTATTGCATTTATTTCTTTGCATTTCATTTCCCATAATATGATATTTCTTTCAATTTTTGATGATTTATAATTATAAAAAAATTTAAATTCTTAGAATTAGAATGAAATAGTAAAAACATAGAATTTGATTTTCAATGACCAATTGAAATTTTCCATTGAATAGGCATTTTAGTAATACAAGATTTGTTACTATATATATGTATATAATTAAAATAATGAATGACTCGAAACTAGGGAAAACGAAATTTTATTCTCCCTAATTTACTTCTTTCTGCTGTCCCTTTGCATCGAGCACTTTGCGAAATGGCTGAACAGACTCTTACACAAAGAAATGTATTTTTGCCAATATTAATTAATGGGTTCATTTTTAATTTAATAAGAATATTTTAAAAACTTGGTACATTGAAATAAAAACTTTTTAAAACAAAACGATTTTTTTATAAGTTCGTATTTTCAATTGCATATCTTAATACTTAAGAATGGCTAATTTTGAAAAGAAAATCTTCTTTACATTAAGTTGACGAACAATAAATATTGATACATTCATTTTTCTCTCAAGAAAAAATAATTAATTGTACACACAGTGATAAATAGTATAAAAATATTTAAATTATATTTCGAATTAAAAAATATACCTCAGTAGTTTATGATATTGAGTTCTAATACATAAAATTTTAAACATTATAAAATGGGAACATACATGATTAAATCTTAACAAATGTTACTGTGGCTGTATTTTAAAGACAATTTATTATTGCAACATTTGAAATAAAGAGTCAAAAATTTTATAATTTCAACGAAATATTTACCGGAATTGTAATTATTTTATATTACTGCATAATAACATTTTTTCTTTAATATACAAATCACGGCATTTTATAAATTTATTTATATGTAATTTTTGTTAAATAAATTATTAAAGATAAGAGACATGTGAAAAAATTCTTAAAATTAATACCTAAATTCTAATATCTATGTAACCCAATTATATAGTAGTTACGTAAGTTTATGAAGTAATAAAATTTCTAGTTAAAGTTGTAAAAGATCTCTTAATAATTATAAACCATATACCGATAACATTTATAATCATTTTTTCCAAAAATATTATTCAAAAGGTATAATTAAGACTACAAATAAATTGTTGCAATGTCGCAAAATATCATTGTCTTTTTTTTTTATAAAACGTACAAATTAATGTCAATATAATAATAATTATTATAAATAATAACATTATTGTTAAAAATCTTATACCCTGTATTTATTAAGTATTAATTAAAATCAGAAAATGAATTAAATTTTTATTTATGTTGACTAATACAAATAATTATAGGGTATTGATTAGATATTCCTTTCATTGACTAAAAAAAAAAAAAAACAAAAAAAAAAACAATAATAAAAGCAATACCAAAATATACATTCTGCTACATCAATGAAACCTGTATTTTCGAGTAATTGAAATATCAAACGATGAAGGGAAAACATCTGTCAACAACAAAAATATATTCGACTTTTACCTCTCTTTTTCAATCATGACTATTTACTAAATATATAGCAACATTTTAATACTGTATATTGTTGTAACAATATATATTGTTTAACATTGTGTTCCGTACTATGTTAGAATAGTAATTAGCTATAATCGACCAAATCATATACCAAAATCAATGGAATAAACGGTTTATTAAATTTCGAATAAAAATACTTATTTGATATCACTTAGACGCAAAAAATAAAGTGAGAGTAGCAGATATCGAGCGAGATAGAGAGAGAGATAGAGAGAGAGAGAGAGAGAGAGAGATTCGTATTGCTCGCAACATCTTTTATCTTCTCGTTGCATACAACTCTGTTGTCTTGACGTCTAGCAATGGCTGTTAGATTTCATTTGACTCGATCTGTCACCGACCATTTAAAGTCTGCTTCCCTTATTGTTTCAGCTTTTGGTTTGATCGTTTATGAGACGATAAATTGCTGGTTGGCATAAAATCAATACTTTCCTCTTGTAAATGGAGTTTAGTCGGTTTCCGCTAGTTGATCAATTTATGATGGCAATCGCTATGGATAAATTTTCAAAATTTCGATGTCTGTATTATGTGCTGATCAGCACTTCTTATTAGTTGTCATTCAATATCAAATATTACTATATTAGAAAATTAATTTCCGGACTTCACTTTATGAGAGAAAAAGTTTCAGTAATTATTTACGTAATAATTACTTTCTCTATTACTAATATTATAATAATACTAATATAATAATACTAATTAATAATATATATTACTAATCATTAAATAATTATATATAATGTATAGTAGAGTATTTTATTAAAAACAATATTTAATTATTGCAATGTAGGGAATAAAAAACGGACAATATAGATGATTAATAATTGAAATAACTTTATTTCATATGTTACACGGTATTTCATATAAAACTATGTCCTCTGCATAAAATAAGACATTTATTCTCGACCTTATTTTATGTTACGAAAAAAATGCTAAATTAAACGGACAAATATTAATTGATCTTTGTCTTTTTTTATTAATTATCCATTGTTTCTTTAAATAGAAAGTTTTTGAAATACGCTCAAACGTTAATATCTCATTGTTTCCAATTTATTACAATTAAAATATAAATATGTATATATTTTTTATATTTAATATACTCATTCAAGCTAGACTTTTAACTATCAATTAAAATTAGTCTATTATATAATTGCAAAAAGTTTACTAATACATTTAGACATCTCGATACAATCCAACTAGTCAAATTTAATAAAATACGTTAACCATTTACTTTGCATTATTAGAAAGACATATATAGTTATTTAAAAAATTTAATCAATAAATTATAAATACATATAAAATTATTATATATTTTTATTACATATTTTATATGCGTTGTAAATCTAGAGTAATTGTTTCATAATACTTTCACATAAGAATGTTGAAAATATGTAATAAGTTAAAAACAATTTATTTCGAGTTTAGACTTCAGTAGTAGTATAGTTTATTCATTTATTAATTGATTAATACTGTATAGTAGTGTAGTATATATTACTACTTACAGTACTCCAAGTCTATTTTTATAATAATTTATAAGCTGCTTAATTACATAATTACCTATTACTGCTTTTAATATCAAATTTACGTTTTTTATTACATAATAAGAAAATTAGTTTAAATATTACTCCAAATATAAAATAAAACATAAAATTGAATTAAATCCAATCCTAGTTATAGCTTCAAATAATTTAATAACTAAATTATTATTAAATTAATAATTTTTTAATAATTAACTAGTCACTTTTAATAATAATAACTAAAAACTAACTAATAATTTTTAAAATGAATATTTATATTAGTTTTTATTTCCAGTCGTTTACACTACGATTTTAAAGTGACAGACTATTTTTTTGTACATATTCATAATTACTATTCATGATGTTAACTTATTCAATTAATATTACTTGTCTCTCTTGTAATATCTTAATAGAATATAAAAGTTACACTTAATAATTAAATCAATTAGTCATTCAATAATTATAAGTAAAGTTTAGTAAATTATGTATAATTATTAATAAATATTATATCGAAATTTTGTTTAATACGATTTATTAAATTTTATTTAATAAAGTTTAAATCAATCGATAAATTAATATAATAATTAATAATTAATTAGTATATAATAGATAATTTAGTAATATAGTTAGCTAGATAATATATATAGATAATATAGATAGATAATATAGTATATAATAGATAATTAATTAGTATAAATTAATCGATTATATTAATTAAATATCATTCTTATGAAAATAAATTATTTTCAATGTATATATTTTTCGTAATTTAAACAAATGAAAAAACATATAAAATTGAAGTGATCCAACAAAATGTATGAAAAGATATAAATATTAAATTTTTTTTTAACGAGCAAAGTAATTCTCTCGAATAAATTTTTTCTTAAATGAATAAAGTTTTGTGATTAGTATTTTAATATGCAGTACATAATTACTTACACGATAGAAATTATAATTTTACAAAATTATCATATCATAGTAAAATTATATTGAATTGAAAATGCTAGTCAAAGAATCTAACGCATTTATCAATATATGTAATTGTTAAACAATACAAGCGTATTATTAAAAATAAAAGATTCTTAACTTTTCATAGAATGCTAATTTATACAACAATTGAATGATTGAAATTTTAGCAATGAATGTAAAAACTAAATACTGACGATTGCTGATTAATACGATGTAAAATTATTGAATATCTTATACATGAATGCATACAATTTAAATAAAAAATAAATAATCAATAAAATAAAACAG